GTGTGTATATAAATATTTCTGTAACACAAGGTTATCATTTATGTCCCATGCTTATTTATACCTCAAAGCATAGGCATTGGGCTGGGTATTAAGAATTTTTTTTACGTGCACACGACTATTTGTATACCACAAGCTAATTTTTAATAGCACACGAATATTTGAATTTAATTTTTATATAATGATTATAATTTATAGAAGATCCATATTTATTTAAAAAACAGTGTGTTTGAAATAGGACACTGGCTGCAGCCAATTTATGGGCCGCAATCGTTTTCTTTGAGAATATATTAATAATGAGAGGCCTGACTTTGTATGAGAACCTATTTTATGAACAGGTCAGCTCGAGGGCAACTAATTAACGAGCACTCCTTCGGAAGCCTCGCAACGATCAGCGCCATTTGGCGCCCTCTCAGCGATTCGCCACGTGTCGCGCTCTGGGTGCTCCCTCCGGATTTCATTTTTTAATTTTTCCGCACGCGTTTTCGGCTGTTTAAACCGGTTTTTTTCGATGTTTTGGTTTTCCACCAGTCTTCCCTAGCCCTTGGACCAAAAGCATTTTGAAAAAAAAAATTGCGCAAAAAAAATGCGTTTTCGTTTTTTTCTCTTTCGCGAGAGTCACGGTTTTCTATCCACGAGAGGCACAGTTGTGCTTTCGCGAGAGGCGCGGCCGTGCCTCGTGAAAACGAAAAAAACGCGTTTTCTGTTATTTTTTTCCTTTCGCGAGAGGCACGATTTTGCTTCCGCAAGAGGCACGGTTGTGCTTTCGCGAGAGTCACGGCCGTGCCTCTTGGAAACGGAGAAAAACGTGTTTTCTGTTTTTTCTCTTTCGCGAGAGGCACGGTTTTGCTTCCGCGAGAGGCACGGTTGTGCTTTCGCGAGAGTCACGGTCGTGCCTCCTCGGAAACGAAACAAAACGCGTTTTCTGTTGTTTTTTTCTTTCACGAGAGGCACGGTTTTGCTTCCGCGAGAGGCACGGCCGTGCCTCCTCAAAAATGGAAAAAACGCATTTTCTGTTTTTTTTTCTTTCGCGAGAGTCAGGGTTTTGCTTCCGCGAGGGGCACGGTTGTGATTTCGTCAGAGGCACGGGTGTGCCTCTTTCGGAATGGGAAAAACCCATGCTCCCGCTCCAGTTTTTTTCGTCTGTTTTTTTGTGAAAAAAAAGTTCGTCAAAACCTATCAACATGGGATCTAGTTTTGAAGATCTCGACGCGAGGAATCCAACGGCGAAAGAGGTTCGATATTTGGACGCACGGTTTAAGAGATAAATTGTTTTGAATAAATGGATCTACGAAAAAAGAGAAAACTTGCAGGTTGCGACAAGTGACGTACACAGCGCGCCACTTGTCGCAACCTGGGGAATTAGGACAAGTGGGCCAAAAGCCAGAGTAAACAATATACGACGTCTATGGATGCGATTAGGACAGTATATTTACACATATTTATCAAGTTTTAGAACCAATATATTTTGTAAATCCAGTCATTAAAGGCAAGTTCAAGCATAAAAAGCTGCAGGTCTATGGCCTGTTTCAAGGTTCAAGGCCAAGGAAGCCCACGGGTTGTTACCGGCGACGAGCTACTAATTACATGTCTTGCTCACACGGACCTACAAATTCCGAGACACCACACCCGAACCGACGTCCAAAACAGAGTGCATATATACGCCGTAAAAATCCGCGTCTTGAGTCCATGGGTAATTAAATCCTTAGGGAAAAAAATATATGGATAGATACATGGTCTATCTAGCCCGTAATCTAATGACTATAAATATCCGGATCCCTGAATGATATATGGACACCGCTTCCGCCATATACTCTTACTAGCTCGCTAACTAACCAATGGCGCCTTCAGCGAGCAGGAGTGCAGATGTGTTGCCCGTGCTGCTGCTCCTCGTGCTGCTGGGGATGGGATGCTCGCCCGCCGCTGCGACAGCTTGTACGGACTGCGCGTCGCAGTGCACTTCGACATGCAGCACCGCCAACTTCGCCGGGACCGGGCCGTGCGGCGAAGACTGCAACCCGTCGCCGGCATGCGCGAGCTGCCTCGCAGCGTACAAATCGAAGTGCATGGGGCCCTGCGTTAGTTCGTGTAAGGCCCAAACACCTAGTGGATACGACTGCGAAAGCTCTTGCACAAGGTCTTGCAGCAACCTCACCGGCTCGTGCGGCATCTGCGCCGAGTCGCCGACGTGCACGGCCTGTAAGGTCAACTACTCCGGTGGGTGCACATCCTGCTGCACCTCTTACTGCAAGTCCCACTGCGTCTAGCTACGACCTTCCCCACTCTACTTCGCTGGCACGTAACTAAGGATTCTGCTACTCGGCGCCTCACTGAGGACCAACATTATGCTAGTGTAATTTTCTTCAGCAAATAATCATAGGAGTGCATATATGTGTAAGTGCCTCCTTTTCTACTTTCCCATTAGCATCGATCGGTTTGCATACCATGCTTTTAATTTCTTATTTTGATAATAGTTTGGTTACTGGAACAAAAAAGATCATATTCTATTTCTACTTGCTTATTTATTTTGAGTATATTTGTATTTTCTTGCTTCAGTATGGCATAGTCAGACACTATATATGTCATTCTTGCTTCAATATGGAATTCAAATTATCTATATATGTCATACCCATCCAAGCGACAAATGACTCGCCGCACGAACGGTGCCACGCCAACGAACAATCTCATTTTTTAGCACAAATTATGCCTCGACAACACACTGTCGCAGACCAGTACTAAGAGGATGGGTTTTTATACCCGATGCACGCATACCTAGCTAGCTACCACGCATGGACGCACTAATCTAGCTAACTAACTAAACGACCTAACCAGCTAATCTCTACATCCAAGCATGCGGACCTGAGTGAAATGCTTCAGAGGTAATTTCAATCATTATCGCACTATATCGGCAACTTTCATTCATTTCCTAATATCAAGTAATTAATAACTCCTTTAATCTTTTTATTTGACGGGCATGGTTTGGAAAATATTCACCGAGAAGGCTAGGGGTGAATGAAAAGAGGAGTTGCGATTTCGACCACTCAATGTAAGTAGTACTAGCTAGGTTCGCGCATCTCTTTGATTCTAGCTTCAATACCATTATCATACTTGATTATTATTTTGATTGAACCCTATTCTCGTAAAGTGCTTGAGGCAGGCAGACGTGACTAATTTATATGGATTCTACGTTTGCAAGTTCATTCGTCAGACAACTTGTGAGAAGGGCATAATTTTAGGAAAACTTCGATTAAGTAAGCAATAGTCACAATTTTATTTTATTACCATCAGTTGTGTTGAGTTTCATTCATATATATTGACCTCCTTCTTTAAATTAGATCGAACAGATACGGGACGATCTCCTACCAAAGGATCGCGCACGAGCAATTAAAAAGGAATTGGCGGGATTCTTATTCGAAGAGGTCATATCTAAAACCAAAGAATACCATCGGGAGTTGGTAGGTAATTTTGGTAAATAGATATTAGGGATCGTAAGAGATATTATGTTGTATATATGCATGAACGTGTACTATATGTAGTAGCGTCAAATATATGTATGAAAACTTATTGTTCGCGAGGGGTTTTTATACCCGACAGATACCTAGCTATCCACCACGCATGGACGCACTATTCTAGCTAACTAACTAAACGGCTAACTAGCTAATCTCTACATGCAGGCATGCAGCCCACGAGCTGCCGTGCCACCCGGCTACATGACGCAGCACCATACGCACCGCACGAACATGCCCAACTAAGTTCATGCAAGCAGCTAGTAACTACTTGGATACTAACTTCAATAACGTGATCAAGATTAGTGCTAACAATTTTCTTTCTAATGTTGACACGACTCATTGTTGACCGTCATATTGAACGCCTCCCTTCAACATCACCGCACACATCTACGCATGACTGTACCACCGTGGCCTCCGCCGCCACACAGCACCTCCATGCTGCCATGCCGCCGTGTGCAAGCTGCACCACGCCGTGCCATGCTGCCGCGCCATTGCCTCGAGTCTTGAGGTTTCAATACCAATTGTTGGGACAAACCATCCCGCGACAAATGCCGAGTAGCCTCCTGCGACCCGAATGCCGGACAAACACTAGCTAGCTCTCTCTCTCTCTCTCTCTCTCTCTCTCTCTCTCATTTTCGCTCGGACGAAGGTCGAAGAAGAAGCAAACTGGACATAAGGTATTTTCCGGTGACAAATGCCTCGCCGCACGAACGGCTTCACTTATTACAGCACAAGCTTGTGGCTCGGCAGCACACCGGCACAGACCAATTCAAAAGGGAGGGTTTTTTAGACCCGGTGCACACACAAGTTTAGTACAAAGTTGGGTCATCTATTTTGGAACGGAAGGAGTAGCTACCAAGCACGCACGCACTAATCTAGCTAACTAACTGACCGACCTAACAAGCTAATCCCTACATGCATGCATGCAGCCCATGAGCTGCTGCACGACCCGGCTACATGCCGAGTCCAGGATCCGTGCCGGACGGGCATGCCCAACTAACGGCAGTAATGCTACATCTACGTATAACACAAACATAAAGTAACGTAAAGAGTAACATGGTGGGCTGGGATTAGAGAGAGGGGGAGGAAGGGGCCCACCCCCGGTTAAAATCAGGGGGGAAGAGAATTTAATTTAGTCAAGTTACGTAAGCTTTCGTAACGTTTTACGTAGATGTAGCATTATTGAACTAACGGCGTGCAAGCAGCTAACTACTTGGACAATAACTCCACTAAAGTGATCAAGATTAGTGCTAACAGATACTCCATATTTTAGACGATTAATTGAAAAGATATCACAATAAGAGCCAGACGTTAAAGATATCATAGTAAGCACTAGATACTGAAAGTGCATGTTATATTGATAGATAAGTAGTAATAAGAGCTAGGAAGAAAATACATGCTCTAAATCCAAGGGGGAAGCAAACCAGGAACCTTGAACATTCAGACACGCCTTGCGGAGAGTGAAAACTTGTCATCTTCCTTTTGCATCCCAATCTAGTTGGATGGAATTGGAATAATGCTCTCTTTGAGGCGGCAGTGATTAAGCATCATACAATATTGACGCTTTCCGATGTTCACCATTTCTAAGAAGTTGCCATCAATGTCACAACGCATTACATGTTTACTGTTAAACATGATCAGCAACTCACGGTCGTTCAACACAACCATATCATTGAGCCATTGCACTGTTGAATCAAGTGGTGTTCTCTTTTTCTTTTTGCAAGAGGTTGAATAAAGTTGTCGTGATACCTCCAGCGTTGACACGTCAATCCGGTACTTGAAACTCCAGACGTGATCCTGCATCGCCCAGACATCCATAGCGGTCAAGCTGGGAGTCAAGCTGCCCCATAAAGCAAGTATCCCGTTCATGTCGAACAACTTTCTATGATGGCACAGCTGGGTGGGACTGCTAATCCACCGGAATGACTCGGCTTCTGTGTCGAACACAATAATATATGTGTTGTGTCCCCCAATTTCATTGGCATCATAAGGACACCAGTGCAAGCTGCCACGGTGAAGCACTGATGGTGGACAGCACGACTTAGAGCGCAATCCCTTCAGTAACTGATGTTCTTGTTCCATGGATGGTGGTGAGAGTGTTTGCATTCTGACACTGATATGCCTCATCACATTGGATCCCACTGTGAGAACGTGCAAGCTGGATTTATACGGGTGCCATGGTTCCGAGACCCAGAGCACCCTGTATTCTTGAGTTGGAAGGTGCTGGTAGAAACCGATTATGGTGTTGTAGAGGGCATGCTCCACATGAGGCTGGGGTAGGAGAGCATGCGTGTGGATAACCGGATTGCAGATGTAGAATTGGTGCAGCCACGAGATGACGAGGAAGCCATCGCAGGCGCCATGAAGACAAATCTCGGAGTGGTGTTTGACGCACCGGGAGAAAGGCCAGAGCTGTTGTTTGGTGCCGGCGGAGTGGAAGAGGACGAAACTAGTGGGCAGCCCCCGGCCATCAATAATCGGGAGCGAGGGTTGGAGCTGGTGGTGGTCGAGCATGAATTTGGGCGTGGATGTGGCAATGCACCATGACGTGCTGACGGCTCGGCAGCGTGTGACATCCTTGGACGGCAACCGAACGAGTATCTTGTGGATGATATCGTCGGGTAGGTCCTCGAGCCAGGTCGCGCTTCTCCTATCCGGCATCATGCTGGCTCCCTCCCTCGTGCCCGGCAAGCTACAGTGCCTAAGAGGAAAACCAACATCCAATGCTAAATCCATGGCACCAACTTAAATCAATAAGGCAAGCTCCTAGAACACACAAGCCAAGATAGGTTTGCCTCTAGACACAGATGCAAACATAAACGAAAATATGGGCCGCGAAGTTGCTCACCTACGTCCGGGAAGAAGGTCTGGTAGTTGAGTGAGGCGGCCGGTCAAACTATACCCAGACCAGCAGCAACAGGAGAGGTCGAAGTGGAGGCCATGGCGCGAGGTGTAGACTGCAGCAAGGAAGAGATCGACTCGGCGATGCCTTTTCAACTTTTGGCTGCATGCATGCCAAACGTCTGGATTCCCTCTTAACGACGCTCTCACAATGTCGCCACATGCTAGCACCGAGCAGTTCACCATACTCCTTCAGACGGAGCATTGAAGTCCATTGAAGTCTCGGCTGCAGTGAAGTTTGGACGTACTGTACCCTCCGTTTCTAAATATATGCTTTTGTAGAGATTACAGTATGGACTACATAGGGAGCAAAGTGAGTGAATCTACACTCTAAAATGCATCTGTATACATCCGTATGTGGCTTATAGTGAAATCTTTACAAAGGCTTATATTTAGGAACAGAGGAAGTAAAAATTATAAACCTTGAACGTACTTCTTTTTTTGGCCAAAAATAGTAGTAGTACTCATGGTGCTTAATTTGGGAACACATACAAGACGGACAAGCATGCAGCAGCCGTTGCAGTACATTGAAGTCTCGGCCACTTGTTGAGTGCTGAGTCGATGCATGCACCCGTACGATGTCATTTAAAGCACCGTAGTATAAGGCTGTCATCGGTATCAAATGGTACGTACTATGGTGTTCTTCAACTTGCATGAAAGTAAAGATTGGCAGCACAGTTCAAATTTAAAAGAGTGAATAGTAAAAACAACACTAGTGAAAACCAAAAGTTTAAAATTATCTCAGTAAATAGCATAAAACTATCAAATTTGGGGCCAGGGTTCCGGAAAAACTATCATTTTTTTACAATTACTAGAAACATACCCCAAATTTGGTTCGATATTTCAATAAACTACTGAGTTTCACTGATAAATCATTTGATTAAGTTCAAACCATTTTATGACAGTCGTCAGGTCCATGTGGCACAAAAGTTAACAACGTTATTTGAACAGTAAAGTTTGTCAGTTTGCGGACCGGCGTGACCCACATGTCAGCCACACCAAAATCCAAAGCAAAATTGCTTCCAAAATAACCATGAACTCCACACTGCCCTTGCGGCCTCCCCCACTTCTGCCCGAGAGCGCCACCTCGTCTCCTGAAGGGAAGGCATGCAAGAGAGGGCGCGACCCGACATCAACCAGCCGCGGCGACCGAGGTCGTGGCAGCGCGACCTGACTTACCTAGGAGCTCGGCGGCTAAATAAGCTTGACCACAACGCGAGTTCGAAATGTGGCTCGGCGGCTAAACCTAGATCGAAATGTGGTCATTTAATGCTATTTACTCAAAATATCACGAGTTCGAAAGGTAAAAGTGTTCCATGGTCTAACGAAAAAAAACTGGTCCCCATGTCTTTGCCGCAAGCGACCCGCGTGAACCCTAGCTCCACGATGCCAACCTTCCTGCTCCTCGCCGTCGCAGGTTGGCACTGTCGGGCGAAGCCCGTGCGGTGTCAACGGCGGCAAGGCTTCTCGTTCCCTCCTCCGGGGTGCGCAATCGCCGCAGGATGGCTCTGCCTCGCAAGGGCGGCGGGGGTGCAGTGTTCTTTTTAAGAGGGAGAAATACACAGACAACTTCCTCTCAACAGGCCCGCAATGGCGGCCCCAACCAATAGTTCACTTGTACATGTCAGAAAGTGCAGCCTCATGCCTTCATAATGAATTTGCAAGACATGCGGTAATGCACAATTGAGTACATGGTTTGCAGTTTTGCAGAAATAATTACCACCCCAAGATAATTCTGATGCTTGATTATCCATATTGCCATGCGGATGTCAAATGATTAACTTGGAGCTAGGTTGATTTGATGATTGACTTATGTTTTCCACCAGTTGAAATGAAGAGTAAACCTTATTTGTACATATTTAGTATATTTCGATTGACACTTAAAATTTCTATAAATTTTAGTTCAGTGTGATTTTGACGTACTATTCAACCTTCTTTTCCAATATAAATTATAAACCTTGAATGTACTTCTTTTTTTTGCCAAAAGTAGTAGTACTCATGGTGCTTAATTTGGGAACACATGCAAGACCGACCAGCAGCCGTAGCAGTACATTGAAGTCTCTGCTACTTGTTGAGTCCTGAGTCGATGCCTGCACCCCTATGATGTCATTTAAAGCACTGTATAAGGCTGTCATTGCTGATGGCCTGAGTCCATGCATGCACCCCTGCGGATGAGCATGCATTGGTATCAAGTGGTACGTAGTACAGTATGATGTATCAACTTGCATGAACATAAAGATCTTCTGTTAGCAGCACTGTTCCACCACACCCTTTTGTGCCATGACTCACTATTAGTGGATAAGTGTACTGTTCATCGTCAGGCTGATAATAAGTTTTGTAGTAATAGAGCGTACCCAAGATGAGTATATTTATGTCACAAGTCCCTCTGTCCCATAATATAAGAACGTTTTTCAAGCTAACAAAGGTTGAAAAATGTTCTTATATTATGGGACGGCGGGAGTAGTTATTAATCAGGAGAGGGGTGTTTGTACTAATATACTTCCTCTGTTTCTTTTTCGTTTGCATATAACTTTTGTCTGAAGTCGAAATATCTCTATTTTGACGAAACTTATAGAAAAAAGTATCAACATTTACAAGGCCAAGGAAATATCTTTAGATTCATTATGGAATGTAGTTTCATATTATGTATATTTGGTATTGTAGATGGTGATATTTTTTTATACAATTTTGGTCAAGGTTCTTAAAATTTCACTTGACACAAATCTTATATGCGGAGTAAAAAGGAATGGAGGTAGTAATATGTTACTGTATTACAACGGTAGGAGGGCTTTCTTTTCAGATGTTGTTTTTAGTTTTGATAGGGTTTGTGTCCTGCTCAGAAAGACGAGACGGCGGAGGCTCACTGGAAATAGAAAAAGGTTTTCCCATTCTAACCCCGCCCAGGTGGTGCGTCTAGCAACACCGGTGGGTATGTGAAGGTGTGTCTCCAGTGGATCCGTCTTTGGTGGATTTTCTCGGATCTGTTGATCGTCCATCTACGTTCTTGTGTCTTCAGGTTGGATCTTTCCGATCTATACTACTCTTCCGCAGTTGTTGTTCCGTTGCGTTGGTCCTATGGGGCCTTAGCATGACGTGTTCCCGATTTTCTACTACAACTAGTTTTGCCCGGCTCCGGCGAGGGAGGGGCGATGACAGCCACGCGTCTTGGGCTCGCTTCATTTCTTATAGTCCTCGCTAGGTAGTCTATGGATCTAGATGCAATTTTTGTTACTTCCGATGTTTGTTCTAGTGCTGCGATTGGAAGGGAATAAAATTGGAGTTTTCTCATAAAAAATGATACTGTAATATAATGCATCACAAATTAAAATGAGTCTGCATCTAAATAAATGAACTTGCATGATACCATAGAATGTTACTACCCACTATGTAGTTAGTAATACTAGTTGGATCATTTTAGAGGACTGCTACGGAAGACATCAAATTGGACATGAGGAGGAGCAGGACTGGTATGGTTTGTTGCGTCGGGGGGTTAACCTCAAGGGATTATGATTGGACGGGAGGAGAACAGGATTAGTAGGAGCAGTGCTAGGGCTCGGTGTGTTGGTTATTTTTTTAGGCTGTACGTGGGAGGAGTATCAGTGAAGGAAGGAGAGTGCCAGAGATGAATTCTTTTCTCTCGCTGTATATTTTTTGAACTGCTTTTTCTTCGTTGTAGATTTTTTAGGGGATTTTGGGCTGTAGATGTTTTAAGGTGGGACAGAATTCGAGGACTACTGCTGTATTTTTTGTGAACTATTTTTTTTCTGTTGTAGATGGTTTAAGGTGGGACAGAATTCGAGGACTCCTGCTGTATTTTTTGTGAACTGTTTTTTCTGTTGTAGATGGTTTAAGGTGGGACAAAATTCTAGGACTCCTTCAGGCATCGCATCCAACGGTGGAAAATACTTAATTTGATTATCGGATGACTAGTTTTCTTAGTTACCGAGGATTAACGTGGTTACTTATATGGTGCCTCCAATTAGTAAATATAAGATATAAGATAGACTAGTAACATATACAGATAATTTTCTAAGTTACTTCCCATTATGACCAGCCTCAGCAATGTCACTCGCGTGCAATGCCATGCTTTGTAGTCCAGAACATGCATGACGAAGGAAATATTGTTCTTCAAATAACAAAGACCGGCGAGGTATATTTATATAGGATCTTTTACATCTGTGTCCCTAACTCGAACCCACTACTCACATTTGCCACTAATTCGAAAGCCTGCTCAAAAATGCCCCTCCGCCGTTAGGTGCCCTTACAGAAATGCCCTTCTGCGCCGTTACTGTCCGGTCAATGCCAGTCAAAGCCGGTCAAAGGGCTTTGACCGTCCTGAAAAAAATAGCAAAATAATATAAAAAATCTGAAATTTTGTAGGATCAAAGGTACCCAGGTTCACAAGATGCGTGCAAATTTTCGTGCTATTTGGACAGAAAAAACAGTAAATATATATGCTTGTGAACAGTAAATTAAAAAAATGCAAGAAAATTCAAAAAAAATATGAAAATTTTTGGCATCAAAGTGGCTCGTGTCTGCAAGGTGCGTGCAAATTTTTGGCATCAAAGTGGCTCGCGGAGAAAAAAACAAAATTTGGCTTGGGAAAAAACTTTGGAAAAAATGACTATTTTGTTATTTTTTGCTAGTGCTCGTCGCATGTCATTCGATCACAAAAATATGCAAGCACCTTGTCCACCCAAGCCCCCATGATGCCAAAAAAATTCATATTTTTTTTTGAATTTTCTTGCTATTTTATTTCAAATTTACTGTTCACAAGTGTATAGATTAACTGTTTTTCCTCTCCACGAGCTCCTGGAATGTCAAAATAGCAAGAA